AGCATATATTTTTTTTTTTTTTTTTTTTTTTTTTATATAGATTATTTTATTTTATGATTTCTTTTTGACGCGTGAAAGCGTACCCAACGGGTTTGAATTTCCTTTCCGAGATCCATTCTTTTGATATAACAAAAAGAAATAAAATACGTGTATGTGTATTAAATTTTAACAATTTATTTTTCTCTGCTTCGTTACATTCGTCTTTCGGAGGAAAAAAAAACGTCTATCTCTCTCTATCATAGATATTTTTTCCTGACAAATGAAAATTGTCGATAGAGATTTATATTGAAAAAGGTAAAAGAAAAAAAAAAAAAAAGATAGATTAAATACGTTTATTATAAAAATAAAGTACATGTATGTATATGTGCTTACCTTAGGTAAAAGGGACAGAACTTTATTACGAATAGAATTTTAATGAAACAATTCGAATAGAAACGTCAATTAGAAAAAGAGAAAACTTTTTTTATTATATGTCCACTCTACTACTACTACTACTACACACTACTACACATACGTACACGTATTTAAATACAGAAAATTATAAAATAAAAGAAAAAAGAAATTTTTTTCCAATAAAAATGTAAATTAGTGGTCAGTAGGTATATATAAATTACTTACTATTCGTTTACCATATATACATAATTTCCACAAATTACGTTATATTTCATTGAAATAAATTTAAAACGAAAGAAACATAAAACGTGTCTTATCTTTGTAAAAAAAAAAAGAAAAAAAAAAAAAAAGAGAACAAAAGAAGGAAAAATAAATTATATTTTAATTGTTAAAAACATATATTACAGTAGAGAAGATAATCGTGACTATGGGATGATCGATCATTACTTTTCACTTTGCTCTCGTGTAAACTGAACAAAAAGTAACAGAAATAAAAGAAGAAGAAGAAAAAATAGAAATAGAGAGATAGGGAAAGAAAGAGAAAGAAAGAAAACTAAACGAAAGTAAGCACGCGACAGGTTGGTGCGTCACTCTATTTATCCTGACTAAGGAGAAAGGTAAATAAGAAGGACGATGCTTGTGTTTCGTTAGTGTCTCGGAAGCGGACAAGAAGAACGAAGCGCCTTCTATCTTCCTCGTTCTCTCTTTCTCTTTCTCTTTCTCTCTCAAACTCTCTATCTAACTCTCTTGTGTCGAATAAGAAACAAAAACACCATACGTACAAAAAGTTTACAACACGATATATGCGTATGGTGAGGGAAATAAACGATAGAGAATATATTCTAAAGAACGAATAAGAGTAAATTTAAGTTCCTGGTTGGTTATTTACATCTCGCGAATAGGGCAATTTCATTTTTAAAAGGGACACCAATTCGAAAAAATTAAGTTAACCCTTCTTTGCATGATGATGGAAATTTCAATCATAATATTTAGTCAACAAAAAAAGGTACTCAAAACCCTTGTACTGTATATTTGTTGTTGTTGGCAACTTTTTAAGCGACTATTGCGTACAACAAAACGCAGTTGTCAAAAAATAGCACTAGGATTTTTTTTTTAATATTTTTCCTTTAATCTAGAGCATTAATTACATCACCCTGATTTATTTTAAAAGAAAAGAAAAAATCATGCAAAGAAGGGTTAACGATGAATTATTTTACTTTGAATTTCTTTTATTCTTTTTTTTTTTTTTTTTAATATTTCTTTTTTTTTTTTTTTTTTTTTTGGAAACTTTCTTAGGATTTTATTTTTAGAATAGAATTAGAATTGTATATCACGAACGGGGGGTGGGGTGGGAGGTATCAGGATTTTCTTAGGTGAAACATGTTTCAAATATTGGGAATCATCGATATATATAAATACATTAATACTTTCTTGTTTTACTTACTTCGTTAAAATTCTTCGTTGAATATCATCGCGTATTTCATGTATCCTAATTGTATTTATGGAAAAGAAAAAATAAATATCTTTTTACACAATTCCGAATGCGATTGAAAATATTAATAGATTTTCCTATTCTCTATTAA